TTCAAAGCCGTTTTCTCAGCTAACGTAGGCTTGGAGACAATAACGGGTGTGGATAAAATTGTAAAGGGCGAGGAAAACGCCCTTATTCCTGATAATATGAACGTTTCAAACGTCCTATATTTAAATTGGGCTCCACTTGTATTAACTTACGTCGAGCGCACATTTAGTACATTCAAGGCTTTTCTTCGCGAAAATCGAATGAAAATGCTGCCAGAAAACTTCAAAATGCATCTTGTGGTTCAGTGTTACTACAACTATACAGATTAAAGTTTCATGAGCTAGAAACTCGAAAGGATGAAATGGTCAAAGATTCAAAGTACAAATTTTTCATATAATGAAACTAGTTCATAGTTTTTCTCTTTTTACTTGTAATATAAACATTTCTAAAATAAATGTATTTTTTGATTGTTCTTCGTATTTTCTGTAGTTTTTAGTGCCTTATTTTGCTTTTTTTGCAATACCTAGTGCCTTTTCCTGCCTTTTTCGCTATTTTGTTTTGCCTTTTTTGCCATTTTTGCAATACCTATTGCCTTTTCCTGCCTTTTTCGCTATTTTATTTTGCCTTTTCCAGCCTATTTCGTTATTTTATTTTGCCTTTTTTATAGGTTTTTAGGTCCTAAAAATCCGTTCCCTGGTAATAAGTATTGTTAAATAGCCAATACCCGCATGTTGCGGTGCCTTTAAACACCTTTCGAACTGTAAAACATCGAATTTAAAACAAATCGGACCATAAATAAGATTTTTTGGAAGAGATCGGCCCCTGCTCCACCTATCCGAAGAAAGTATCCTGTATGTTAATCCAGGCAATAAGCTACCTACGTGCCGAATTTCAAGCAAATCGGACCATAACTAAGATTTTTGCGAATAGATTGGTCCCTGGTCCACCTCTCAGAAAAAAAGTATTCTATATGTTAATCCAGGCAATAAGCTACCTACTTGCCAAATTTCAAGCAAGTGGCACCATAAATAATATTTTTTCGACTAGATCTCTCCCTGGCCTACTTAACGGAAAAAATTGATCCTATATGCTAATCTAGGCAAAAGGCTACCTACGTACTAAATGCAGTTTTTCAGCGTAGCTCGATCCCTGCGCCACATTCGCAAAATTTAAAACTTTGTGCACTCCGCCTTCTAAACACCTTTCCAAAAACGCAGCAGCCATTCGAATTGGTTATGACACATAGGAGAAAATTGTTCCCAATTGATATATGCTCACAATAAATTTCACAATTATCCGAAATTTTCCAAGCTTCACAACGAATTTTCCACCTTTACATCGTCCAAAATCTTCAAATCATGTGATAAAATGCAAAATTTCGTCGAAAAAAATTCAAATTTTTCGCGTTCTTCCGGATTTTTCTGAGTTTTCCACTTAGAATTTTCTATTTTTCCATTCGAAAGCCACTCCGAAGGAATTGCACACAAAATTCCATTGTTCCAATTTCACAACTTTCCTGGAGGGTTTTCCCAAAATTTTCTTTCGTAAGCACCTTCTCCTGGCAATTACGAACAACTAACGAAAAATGTTTGCCAAATCGGCCCAACCGTTCTCAATTGATGAATTACTATACATTTTTCACACCATTTTTATATATATAGAAGATAACTGATCACTTCATTTTTAATATACATATACGTATTTAATACATACATTCTTGCCACTGCTAATCACATGAATAAAAATCCTAAAAACGAAAATGTGACTGCAATATTTCTTGTTTAAAATGTTTTAGATCCATCGCACCCCACGGACTTTATCGGCCGCCGATTTAGTTGGGCTTGCTAGTCTTTCCATTGCACCACAACTAATTGGTCGGAGCGATTAAGTTGGTGTAGTGTGCGCACCTCCATACATCTTCATGTACATATTTCAAGCGAGCCCTACTATTTAAATAGGCGGCCGATAAATTCTGTGGTATGAGGAGGCTCCTACAGCTGCATTATTACATCTATTCCGTGTCTTGGAATATCCACGGAAGCAGCAGTTATGAAGAAAATGATTTTAAAATATTAGACAAATTATCTACTTATATGTTTGGCTTTCCTTTGCGTTATTTTTCCAACGTCAAAAGCTGGACTTTTTTTTGAAAAAGTTGGTACAACAAAAAATACGAAACACGTTTTCTGTCAGATAGCTAACATGGCGGATAAGAAGAAGAAGTGAAACTACCCGGAAAAAAGAATCTTATATGCTAATCTAGGAAAAAAGCTAACTACGTACCAAATTTTAAGCAAATCGGACCATAACTAAGATTTTTTTCAATAGATCGGTCCCTGGTCCACTTCCCGAAAAAAATATCCTATATGCAAATCTGGGCAAAAACCTACCTACGCACCAAATTTTAAGCAAATCGGACGATAAATACGATTTTTTCGAATAGATCGGTCCCTGGTCCACTTCCCGAAAAAAAAGCATCCTATGTGCTAATCGAGGCAAAAAACTATCTAGGTACCAAATTTTAAGCAAATCGGACCATAAATACGATTTTTTCGAATAGATCAGTCCCTGGTCCACTGCCCGGAAAAAAGGAAAAGGATATGCTAACATAGGCAAAAAGCTACTTACGTACCAAATTTTAAGCAAATCGGACCAGAAATACGATTTTTTCGAATAGATCGCTCCCTGGTCCACCGGAGGGTTTTCCCAAAATTTTCTTTCGTAAAAACCTTCCCCTGGCAATTACGAACAACTGAAAAAAAATTGCCAAATCGGCCCAACCGTTCTCAATTGATGAATTACTATACATTTTTTACACCATTTTTATATATATAGATTTATTGGCTCCTGTGTACGATGATTAAACTCATGTTAAAATTAATAACATTTTTATATTTTATGAACTACTAGTGAAGCCGTATGGTGTTTTTATTTAAAATATTTTTTTTACAAAAAAAGGTATTTTTTCCTTTTAACAGGTTCCCTGTCCAATGAATCACATGTGATTCATGGGAACAGTTTTGTACCTTGTCTCACACGTCCATGAATCTTATATGAGCAAAATCAATGCTGACTTCAGATACATATTACTACTTATTTTGCAAAAAATATAGTGTTTTTGTGTGGAAACATACAAAACAATTGTGGATTGAATATGATACATAGGACGAACCTTATCAAAAACTATTTCCCACCCTTATGTATAATAAATTAGAAATTAAATATTTTATTTTTTTTTGCATAAGGGCGTATAATCTACGCTCTTTGCATATTTTTATATGCAAATAATATCAAATCAGATAAAGAATCCTGAAAAGAGCGGGGGACGTATGCCATGAAAAAAGATGTATTGCATGAGGACAGGGAACCTGTTAAATGTTTTTCCTCAGATTTATACATACGAAGTATACAAATTGCAGAAGAAAGAGGGTTTAATCACGTTTGTGACAATATTATTATTTTTTCAAATCAGTTCAAACTTGTTTGAAATATAAGATTTTTAATTTTTCGAAGACCCGACCTTTGACCCCTTATAGCACCTGTAACATGGAAAAAGTTATATATCGTTTAAATAAGAGAAAAGGGCGTACCACGGCTGTTTTTATTTTTGTTAGTAGTTTACATACGGTAAATTTAAAATAATTTTTTACCAAAGGTCCAATTTCGAACTTCGAACGG